TTATCTGGTTGCCACTGCTTAAGCTAAATATCATATCACCTTCCTTGATTCCATCTCGCCATGCACATGCATACATAACCCGAACTGGACTGTTGTTTCTCTGTGCCATATAATATATGTGGGTTTATGCATAATTCTGTAGTTATTTATTTTTGTCATATTTATGTAGTGTGTATATCGGAAGTGGTGACCCTTTGAGAACTGTATGCAACAAAATTTCATTTTAATGTATCCCGATTAGTGTACATTCAAATTGACAATAAAGTTATTATTCTATTCTATTCTATTCTATTCTATTCTATTCTATTCTATTCTATTCTATTCTATTCTATTCTATTCTATTCTATTCCAGTAACAGCTTCACTTGCAAGATATCTTAGCCAAGTATCAAAGCCACAACCTGTCAGGTTTTTACAAAGAACAGACCCCATTGGATAAAATTTTGTTAAAAACAGATGAGAATTTGATTAGAAAACTCTATAAATTTCTTTTAAACTGGAAGATGGAAGAAGAACAAGTGAAAGAAACAATGATAGTATGGGCAAAGAACTTTGGATATTCTATAGATTTGGAAAACTGGCAAAAACTTTGGGATAAAAACATTAAGCTTACAAAAGCAGTAGCATATAAAGAAAACTTATATAAGATGTTTTATAGATGGCATATGACACCAGTTTGCTTAGCGAAAATGTTTAAAAAATGTTTCGGATATTTGCTGGAAATGTAAACAACAGCCAGGCACTTACTACCATGCCTGGTGGACATGCCCTATCACTAAGAAATATTGGTCTAAGATTCATAGATGTTGGAAAAGATGATGAATCTACAAATAGAATTTAAACCAGAATTGTTTTTGTTAGGAATATTAAGACCTAATTTTGGCAAAGAGAATGACTATTTGATATTGCATGTTTTAACTGCTGCAAGGATAGTATTTGCCCAATTTTGGAAAAATGAGAATCTACCATCTGACCAGATTATTATTACCAAAATTTTAGAGTGTGCAGAAATGGATAGACTAACATTAGAAATGAAAGAAAAAGATGATTCAATTTATTTTAGAACTTGGGAAAATTTTTTATCAATGGTTAGAGACACGTTAGAACTTGAAGGATTTAATATTTTAGAATAGATGACTGATTTTTAATCGAGTTCTAACTAACATTTTGATGATGCGATTACTTTTCCTGATTTACTGATTTTCACTTGCTATTTTTGATTGTTAGGATTTACTTTTTTGAGATTTTATTAGTAGTGTTTATTTAATAGTTAACATATTTGTTTACTAATTGTTTTTAATATGTTACAGCTTAAGCTTTGTTAAAAATGATTGAATATGATATTTACTCATTATTATGAACCGGACGGTTGCTTGTTTGTTGAAATATGTGATTGTACCTATCCTTATTTTACCCTAATTCCTTATTTTCTTCCCTTCCCCCTTTCCTTTTACCTCTCCCTTTACCATACCTGTATTCTTCCTATTTTTCCTCACCTAAGCCACAACCTGTCAGCTAGTCTATATAGGAGACATTTGTGGTCAATCTATGGCATGCTTGTGGTCGACCACTCTGGCTCTTGCCAATATGTTAAAGAAATGTTACTTCTAGCAGGCAAAAGGCACAAATAAACTAATGGCTCTGGCTAAAGTTAATTCTTAGGTTACAAAAGCCTCAAACTACCTATTAATAAGCTAAGAAGCAATGAGATTCTTAAACTGGAGGGGTGTCATAGCTATAATAAAAACTAGGCAAATTTCCATTCATCCTATAACATGTTTACAATACAGGTATTCCTTGACCTACAACCACAATTGAGCTCAAACATTCTGTTGCTAAGCAAGACATTTGTTAAGTGAATTTTGCCCCATTTGATGACTTTATTTGCTACAGTTGTTAAGTGAATCACTGTAGTTGTTAAGTTAGTAACACAGTTGTTAAGTTAATTTGGTTTCCCCATTGAGTTTGCTGATCAGAAGGTCGCAAAAGGTGATCACATGACCCCGGAGCACTGCAATTGTCATAAATATGAGTCAGTTGCCAAAAGGTCTGAATTTTGATCACATGACCATTGGGATGTTTCAACAGTCGTACGTGTGAAAAACTGTCCTAAGTCACTTTTTTCAATGCTGTTGTATTTTTGAACCGTCACTAAACAAATTGTTGTAAATTGAGGACTATCTGTAGTAACTAACCTGTCAGAAATATTAAATTATTTTTGTCGGCCACCTTCAGTTGTTTTAAAGTGAATGGAAAAATATTTAGTAAAACTGGTGATTATAGATAAAAGATGGTCTTTCCAAAGCATGATATTTACTGTACCCGATGACGCGTCATTTAGCCTTCAGATTCAAATCATGAGTGGGAGGCATAAAGTACACAAAGGTCTGCCATTCCATGTGAAGCAGAAGATTATCTTTGTCAGTCAGCAAATTGTGACCTAATGTTAAGTGTGCACCCTATTTATATATCTAAATTCTGGGTTCCATCATTACTGGTGTGCATGGTAATATTACTATATTTATTGACAAAATGCTCAACAACCAAATGGGCATTCTTTTAGTTTTTGTTTATTTGCTTATTTGCTTATCTGGTCCTGAAACTATATTTTCTTTTCAAATTAACTGCAGCTCCTGTTTACTCAGAAAAGGAGGAGCAGATTTCTAGAGGTATTTCAGTCAAAGGAAAAGAAACCCCAGGGAAATCTTATAGTTGTGATTTTATTCTAGCATAATGAAAATATCAAACTAAAAACCAATCAGGAGACATTACGGTAGAATATATCTCTATCTTTTTTGTGTTTGAAAAACATTCTGCCACTTAATTTAGCAGTCTATCTTGTTAAGTGCACATTTGCCTGAAGCAGCCTTGTATCGATGACATAACAAAAAGCACCAGCAAGTTAAGGCTACATGCCAACTGGGTTTATCTGACAATGCCTTCAAAGAATAACAACTGTGTTAACCTCAGCAATGCTATTATTTTAAGGTTTTTTGTTGTTTTTACAGTCAGAGAGAGAGTTCAGAGAAAGTGGGAGGCGGTGATGCTGTTGAACTGAAAAACCTTCTAGTGTGGCATTATTTTTTCCTGGTATAAAATACCTGCCTTATCGTTTGCATGTACACTTTGATCCTGGACAATATTCTTACTATGCCAGATGACTCATACTTTGAACTGATAAGATTACCTCAGCTCCCCAAAGAGAAATATATACTTCCTGCATGGACTGATGTAAGAAGTTAATTCACCAGGTGTCACTGAAACTTGCATAGAATATATTTTATGAGGAGAGAGGAGGGAAAACTAAATGGATAAAAGGTAACTATTGGTTGATTTGAAGTATGAGGGCAATTCGGAAATAAACCTCCGTTTGCTTATCAATGACAAACACTCGCAGATGCAGAACTTTTATTATACATGTTAGAAAACTACAACATTTCATTACTTTTTGATATAATTGCCATTCAAATTGAGGCACTTGTCATAACGTCTTACAAGGTTTGAAATTCCTTAGTAGTAGTCACTCGGTGCCAAATCTGGGGGGGGGGGTGATCAAAAACATCCCAATAGAACTGCTTCAAAAGTTCTTGGGTGTGTCCAGCAGTGTGTGGGTGAGTATTATTGTGAACCAACACCAGAAATCAGCATGCCCTGACACTTGTTATGGATGGCTCGTCTGAGTTTTCATAATGTTTCACAGTAAACTTCTGAATTGATGGTCGGACCACGCTCCATGAACTTCACTAGCAGTACTCCTTTGGCATCCTCACATTTGGCGGGATTTTCTATGGCACCATTTCCGGTGTGGTATTGGTATTGCTCTGCTACCTCAGTGGCTACTCTGAGTAGTCTCCATACAGTCCATCTTTAGTATAAATCTATGCATCTTCCAATTCTATTTTTATTTTATTCCCCAAAAAGTTAAAATACAAAATACAAATACAGAACTCCAAAATTTTAAAAAACAAAGAAAAAAACACCAAACAAACAAGATATTAAAAGGGGCATTAAAAAAAAACCACTAACATATATACCCATATTATCACCCTGGTTGAACATTGATTAGTATATTACAACAATATTAGTTTCCCACCCATTGCAAAACAAGTCCCCCATATTTTAAACTATTAAATCTATTTGCAAGTTATTAATTTGACATCTATATACTATATTAATTACATAATAGTTAACAAGAACAATAATAAAAAGGCAAGGTTAAAGTTTCAAAAAACCTTGTAAACAAACTGTTACTGTAACCCTCTTGTAAAAAAATTATCAAGGCATCTTATATATAGTATAAATCCATTCATATGTTTATATTGAGTTTTTTTTTTTAAATGAAACCACTGGTGCACTGGCAAAAGTAAAATAAAAGGCCTGGTAGAAAAGCTTATAACTCAGGGAAAGAAAAATAAATTTTTAAAAAAGCATGCAGAATTTCTCCTGAGTTTCAAAGAACATTCTGTATATCAAGTGTTAAAACACTATTCCATTTAGAAAAAATGTATCATTAAAAGTTGCAGCAAACCTTGATCAAAGGCTGAGGAGGGGGGGGGATGGGGAGGGGTGCTTCTTGTTTTGCACAGTGCAAGGAGTTGCCTTGAACGAAGTACAGTGCAGCAGACAAATTGGGTAGCAAGCCAGAGAATGTTTTTCCAACTCAAATCAGGAAAGCACTGATGGAGATGGCATTTATGGTGAGCAGGAATTGAGTAGAAGATGACATTGTCCATTCCTGTCCCCCTCCCCCAAAACTATTGATACAGCAAAACCTGGCAGCATAGATATAATCTCTGTATGGCCTCATCAGCTTCATTTTCACAACTGCCAAAGTCCCCTCCCCCAGATGTGCCATCAATATTAAGCAGGAAAGCTTAATATTATTATATTAAGTATTATTAATATTCAGTATTATTTGCTTTTCTAAACAACATATAGGACATTTATATTGAGCTTTTAAAACACTCCAAATTATGACATCCATCCTATTATCCTCACTAGGAAATGCTGAGGAGACTTCAGGTGAGCTTCATGACAAAAGGAAGACTTTGTGTCAACGGAGCAGATGGGGCTTTTTGCAGCCAAAGAGGGATGGAGGTGGAGTCGCATTAACCAATCAGAGCCTGTTCAGATTCCAGAAGAGAATGCTGGAAAAAGTGTAACCTGGTATATGGTCACCTTTTTTTCTTTAGAATTATGAGCTCTTTTGCCCTGTTGCTACAATGTTCAACCCACAGATTTTTTTAAAAAAATGTCCTATAAAAAATGGATAGATTTTCCAGTTAAGACAATTATGTAAGATTGAAATATGAATATTTGTCCATCATTGTTACAGAAGACTTGCAGCCCAGGCTATTACAACTTGCCTATGCAGATCTAAAGATGAAAGGATCTCTGTTCTATTGCATAGTAGTTCTTTATCATTTTGATGGATCTGCTGTTCTTCAAAACCAGTGAAAGTGCTATCCAGAAAAACTCCCATGGAATTCAGTGATTTTTTTGGGCCTGAGAACAAATAGAAACAGGGTATCAGGAATGCTAAGGGGAAGATCAGTTTATGTTAAATATGCTCTACTTATTTTTTTTTTAATGTTATGTGAGCCTATTAGAAATGGAAGCTAGTGTATTCAGAACATGTGTTCACCATTACAGCCAACACCAGCCAAAGCATAAAACAACTTAAAGGAGCCAAACCAGATTAGAAAATGTGGAGAGAGCAGCTGGTCTATAGGATTGGCAAGAATTAGACTTAATTAAATGGATAGCACCAGGAGACCAAGAGTTCAGATGGCATTTTAGCCTTTGCTTAAACACATCCGATAAAGAGGCGCTGCCATATTCTTGCTGTTGGGAAGTTTTTCTAAATATTCATCTTTCTGTACTGAAAGCCCCTTTTCTGGGGCATCTGGGTTCTACGGTTTATGGATTCACATTAGAGTGCCTATTGCCAGTAAGTGGGGAAAAATTTTCTACCTTCAAGTCTGCTGGGACCATAAAATATCAGAATCATAATGCTGTTCTGAAACCAAAAGGTAAATACTATTGAACTGATGGCCATACCATCTCCCCCTGCAGGAGATTCTTCAGTAGGATTGATATCAAAGGATACATAAGTATACTTAGTGTAATCAGGTTAATTAGTATGTACAGATGAACACACAGAAACGATAGATAATATAATAATGGAAATGGGCAAATTCAAGACCCTACTTCTCTCTTCTGATTATTCTTAATCAAAAAGCTTGATTAGGCTGGTCAGGCATTCAGATGGAAGGTGTTATTAACTTAGATTATGTCCACTCAAGAATATCTGGACATCAGATTAAGCAGGTAATCCCAGGCTGTCTTCTTTTAAGATGCACTGTGATTCTGTTTGAATTTTAGCAACACCATTGAATATCTCTATTTCTTTGTGTATGCATTTGTCTGTGTGCAATTCTGCATTTTTCAATATACATTTTCTTTGTTACTCTGCAATAAAGAAAGGTTTCAGCCAGTTACAATAACCCTAACTATTGTTGTTTCTTGATGCAGAGGCAGGAGTAGGAAGAAATGATTGATCTAAGCTGTTCTGCAGATTTTTGCAACTTGGCAGAGCACACACAGCCCCAGCAAAGGAGAAAGGAAAAAACAGATAGTTTTATCTGTTTATCTTTTCTGCCAAGTATCCAGCTATAGAATACTAGGGCACTGTTTCATTTTGCTTTGAGGGAGTGCATTGAAATGGAAGTTCCCTAGAGATTTATTCTGAACTGAAACTGTATTTAGAGAAGAGAATTCTGATTGCTTTGAATTCAGAGAAGCTAGAAGATGAACTGAGGCAAACATTCCTGTCAATAGGAACACCAGCTGACTCAGACATCTGTTTCCGAATGTTGCAAAAGGAAATACTGACTTTACAAGCATTTGAAAAACACTAATGCTGAACCAAAAATAAATGGATTCAGCTCTGATCCTAAATAGGTGATATTGTGGGATCACACATATCTGGAGTTACTTTGGAACTGTGGAGGTCTCCTAAGACATGTGTCCCCAACCTGTGGGCCTTGGTCTGATAGTGGGCCATGGCCTATTGATCACTGGGCCACATGAGTGGCCCCACTCATGCGAGTGTTGCTGCGAGGGTCATGTGCTTTCGCAGCCCCACTCATGTGAGTACTCATGGCCCCACTTGCACAAGCAATGAGTATTCATGTGCGCGCATGTGCACCTGCATTCATCCCCCCACAAAACCATTCATTCTTTTCCCCCTCCCCCCCCCTGCTCTGGGCCACCAACCCAAAAGGTTGCGGAACTCTGGCCTAAGACACTAATTCCTAGTTGCAAAATTCTTACCTTACCCGTTGGGAGGGAAAGATAAAGGCAGTCCCTTAAAGCTTTTTTTTTTTCTGAATAATACATAAAACTAATTTGGTTTGCCCTGCACTATAGTACTCTTCCAGGGAGGCAGAGGAGGTAGGTATCTAGTGTCCTTGCTCTCCTGGCCTAGGGAACGTCTATTTCAGTGGTTCTCAGCCTGTGGGTTGGGACCCCATTTGGGGTCGAATGACCATTTCACGGGGGTCGCCAAACAACGCAGTCCGCCATTTTTTCCCCTTTTCCTTAGTTGTGCTACTCCCTTTTATTCTATTGGCTTTTGAAAGCCAATAGAATAGACTCTCTTGAATAGAGTCTAATTCTATTGGCTTCAAAAGCCAATAGGAATTGTCCAGGCTGTCTCTGCCCTGCTGAGCCCGCCAAAAGTCCCATTCTGCAAACGGTGCTGCAAGTTGTCTGCAGCAAAGGCGAGCTGTCTGGAAGTTTCCACCCCTCCCTGCTGAGCAACTACTAAAAATGTAAGTAAAAGAAGGCCAGGGGTGGGAGGTGGGAGGCCGGCGGGCGCAGGGAGGGTTGCTGGCGTGCGTGTGGCCCGGAGGGTGCCTTACCTCCCTTGGGCTGGGCCAGCTGGTGGCCCAGCCGGTGGTTGGCCTGCGCCGTCTCTGCCGCTTGCCAGCTATGCCTCGGCTGGCGCAGGGGGCGGCACCATGCATGCGTGGCGCTCCTGGGCAGGGAAAGTCCTTGACTTACGACCGGTTGGGTAGTCCTCAACTTACAACCGGTTGGGGGTCGCAGCATTAAAAAGGTTGAGAACCACTGGTCTAGTTTTTCAGACCTAGGCAATTCTCATTTGAAAGCTGCTTTGTATGTTCTTCCCAAAACAATGATATGTTTGTCCATTACTGAGCATACAAATAAATAGACTTTTGCATCTTTGCTGATTCAACAAAGGCCCTGCAATGAGGAGTTCTGCTGCTTGCTTTCTTGAAACTTCTAGAATCGACTCTGCAAGAATTGCAGCGTATACAGGCATTCCACAATGCTAGACTGCAAGCGTGCTTAGCAGCTTGTTTTGAAAATCAGAAATTCTCTTATGCTCTTCATATCACAATTTAGTTCACTAACCGATTGTTAAAGATTTAAAAGCAATAACATTAATTACTTCCCTGGCTTATCAAGAGACAGTAACCTAATTAATATGTGGCTAAAGTTGAAGACCAAGGAGAATTTTGATTACTGCTGAGAGAGACAGAGAAGTAATTAAAGCATTGTTCTTATGAGATTCCCATTTAATTAACATTGTGCTATATCTATCTATCTGTCTGTCTGTCTGTCTGTCTGTCTGTCTGTCTGTCTGTCTGTCTATCTATCTATCTATCTATCATCTATCTATCTATCTATCATCTACCTGTCTAAAAAGAGAGCTGACTTCCTGGAGGCCACAAAGAATCATTCATTTGGAGACAGTGAACAAACTTTGTAGAAAGTTACAATAAAACTAAGGGCAAAAAATGGTGATGTATGCATCATGGCATTTGCTTCAGCCCTTTGGTACTTGCATTATGACAGCATACTTATGTATCAAAGAGATGGAGAAGCAGGACCTGGGCCAGGGTCTTGTTGATCCCACTTATTGATCTGTTTTATATTATGTAACTAGTTTTGCTGTTTCCCTAATAGGATTCTTAGCCAACTTGATTGCATGGTTTTGCTGGCATTATTGCTTTAATCTTGATGATGCATTCTAAGATCCTTAGGGTTGTTATTTTGAGTGAGGCATCCTAGATAGATTAAGTAGATAAATAATGTCACAATACCTGTTTCATCACTTTGATGAAATCTCAACTTGTGGGCACACCTGTTTTGAAAAAAAATATTAAAGCATATTTTTGTTAATTACTTTACTCCCATTGTAGTCTTGCCTACTTTGCTCCTGTTTTAATCTGCTGACACTATATATTTTTAAAATGTATTTCCTAATTGGTATTTTTCATTTTCATTTTATTCCATTATTTTAATTGCTTTAGAATTTATTGTAATGGTGTCGCTCTATAATATTTTGTCAGGAATTTAAATTATTTTATAATTGAGTATAATGGTGGGTCAACAGCAAGATGAAGACAAAAAAGACTGTGGATGTCCTTCTTACTCCAGATGGTGAAACATTAATAGAACACCAGAAAGTAGAGGAACACAGCTCCTATTTTGTCTCTATCTTTACATCCAAAGGAAATCGGCATTTGAATAGCACAGTCTGTAAATGAATACATAAGGAGAAGGGGAGGGGTGTCAATAAGGTTGTGGAAAAAGATCTAGCTAATGCAAACGGCGCTAGTCCTATAATTAACTTGCATTAAAATTTAACACCAGGAAATGAAGATTGCTAGCTCTTCCTATTTCTTTCCAAGGCAATGTGCTACTTGCTTGTCAAGTGCCAGTTGTGAACTCAGAAGCTTCCTGCTCTGACCTTAATATGTCAACTACTAACCAGTTTCACCTCCAACACAGCTCATGTCTCTCCACTAGAGGCCTATGCTACTGTGTAACTTTCTTTGTGAATTAACCATTGTCTGACTACATGTTTTATTCCTATGCTTTGCCTTATAGAATCTCACCAAATGATCTACTGGTTAATGTTCTCTGGACTTGGATGAGCATTCCAGGGGGCTGGGGAAGGAGTAGGGGGTCATAAGACCTTCCCCATAAAAGTAAGCTCTTTTATGAGTGGATGTCATAGAGTTCTTTTTTTGCTTTTAGCTGTGCTCACTACAGCTGATTAGGGAGAATCTCTCCAATGCAGTAAATATCTGCTCTTAATTAATAAGTTTTTATTGATTGTAATAATCCTGGAATCTTCTCCTCTGTGTTTATTTGTTGGTATCTGAATCACAAATGCTACAGCCAGAAATATGGGCCCTGATGAAATACATTTTAGGAATACTGAAAGAAATGTATGAAGATCTGTCAGAACCTGTATCTTTGAGGAGTCTGGGAAACTGTGGAGGGCGGAGAAGAACAATTGTGATTTTTCTTGTTTGGGGAAAAAAATGGGGAGGAAAGGTATGACAAATAAAATGGATTTTTGATAAGAGAGCCTAAGACTGACATCCGGAAAGGCAGTTTATTTTGAACAGTAAGTGTTGTGAAGACAATGCTACTACAGTATTGCTAAGAATTACAATGACTTTGTCAGATAGGTTGTGCAAGACAAATCTCCACTGTTTGACAGGGTAACTACTTTAATGGACAAAGGAAATTTTGTTAGCTTATTTATTTATTTATTTATTTATTCATTCATTCATTCATTCATTCATTCATTCATTCATTCATTCATACTCAATCCCCAATGACTCTGGGAGGTTCACCAGAGAACATGAGAACTATAAAACAGTAAAAAAAAAAATGCTATAAGAAAAGGACAAGCAACAATACCAAAACTGAGCCTAAACCAAAATAGAAACACAGAAAACTGATGGCAGAAGAAAACCTAATGGTCCATCAAGTCTGCCCTTTGAGTTTGTTTCCTTTTTCCTTTATTTATTATTTGTAATTATTACTTTTATACAGGTAGTCCTCGACTTACAACCACAGTTGAACCCAAAATTTTGATTGCTAAGTGAGGCCCCATTTTATAATCCTTCTTGCCATGGCTGTTAAGTGAATCACTGCAGTAGCATGGTTGTTAAGTGGATCTGTCTTCTCCATTGACTTTCCTTGTTGGAAATCTGCAAAAGGGCATCACGTGACCCCGGGACACTGCAACTGTCGCAACTGAATCAGTTGCCAAGTCACAACAAAACTGCGCCCACCCCATTGCCGGCAATGGGGGAAAAGTCGCGATATGTCGCGCGACGTCATGTGACACCGTGAGTTTCACATGCCTGTTTTATGGAGTATCATGAGCCAAAATTTGGATGGCCAAGAGATGTGCTTTTGTATTGCTGACATCTTGTGGTCATTTGGATTTTTGAAGCCAAGATGTGTACCTCTAAATCAGTGCTTCTCAACGTTTGTGTGACGGCGACCCCCGTCACACAAACGTTCTGCGCATGCGCCGGGCTGCACGCATGGGGGCGGGGTCCCCACATGTGGCGCGCATGCGCGCTGCCGCCCCCATGCGTGGCACGCATGCACACCGCCCCCCACGCGCAGCGCGCGTGCACGCCGCTGCCCCCATGCGCGGCGCGCATGCACAGCGCTCCCCCATGTACGGCGCGCGTGCACGGCGCCGCCCCATGCGCGGCGCGCATGCGCGGCACCGCCCCCATGCACGGCGCGCATGCACGGCACCACGAAAAATGGCGGATTGCCGCCTTTGGCGACCCCCGAAAAATGGGGGATCGACCCCAAATGGGGTCACGACCCATAGGTTGAGAACCGCTGCTCTAAATTAACACAGTTTTTTTCTCAATATGGGATGCATATTATGTAACCTCTCCATTTTTTTTTAGCTCACAATCAACATCCATTCAGGGTAATTTATCACCACTATTTTAAATTCTGCAATATTTTAATTCTTTAAATTTTAAATTAAAAATTGCTGCAGGAGAACGATTTTTTAGCTGAAAACTGACACAAGTGGAAATAATTTTTAAAAACCCTTTCTTTTCTATCTTTCTTTTATTCAGATACAGCCCACCACAAGCTACCTGGGACCAATTTGGGACCAATAAAACTAGGAAGAAAGAACTTCTCTTAAAGTGTGGTGTGAACCAAAAGGGTATACTGTATTCAGCAGGGATTCTGTGTAAATAGGAAATATTCCTGCCTGAAAATGGAAATCTTTCAGGTTTTGTTACTCCTACTCTCTGGGAGACTTACAATAAACAATCAACATCATACTGGGGAATGTCCCTGTAAAGGCATGTGAAATTGTATGATTCTATGGGAGTGAGCAGCTCTAATAAATGTAAATAAATAAACGGTAAGTTGTATAATAATTGCAAGGGTTCAAGTTCACTTGCATCAGGAAGAATGGTTCCAAGTTAGCCTTGGGGACCTGGGCCTTCTTTCATCCTCACATGTATCACAGAGTCTCTGGTTATACATGTTAGGTGTTACCTGGAACAGAGCAGTACAGAGTGATGTTACATTGCAAAGAGTGATTGTGGGGTTGTGGATCCTCCTTCCCAAAATGATATTACATAAGAGTTATATATAATTTCAGAAATATTATTCCCAGAGATTTTGAATTACAGTATTTACTGGCCAACCCAGCTACTTTTTAACAATAAATACTGCTTTTTATAATAAATCAGAAGCTTTGATTTTTTTTTAATTCTTCTGTAAGCATTAATATGGTACAATGTAGGACTCTACTTGGACACTTCGCAAGCTTTAATATTCTCCTTAATTGTTATGGATACAGCTTAAGTTTTATCCCCAGAAGGGAAAACAGAAACAATCAATTTTATCTTGGTTTCAGGTGAGATGTTCTCACCTCATTTTTCTGTAGCCTGTCAGAATTAGCAAGTATTGTTACCATACAGGTAAATCTATTGTAAAAGTCCATGAATAAACTTGACATGAACCAGATCTACTTCCACATGTTTGTGAATGTATCTGGTCTCATATGTGTTTGTCAACTGATTCCCATTCTATATGCACTGCTGTTGTATATAAAACAATAAATAGAAAGAGGCAGCAGATAGTTCTATTTCTAGTCATCCATTTTTCATTGTAACGTTTTGAGCTGTAAAAGCTCTGAAATTTTGAACTAGTTCTATAATGCATATTTATTATTAGTTTCATCTAGCTATTATCAAACCTTTTTTAAAAAAAATGCTTTACATTGAGCAAGTAAAGGTTATTGTGATCGTGGTAGAACCTTGGATGACCACTTCTCCTCTTCTATGGAGAAGTGTAGCTATATTGCAAGATGTCAAATTAGTAAGGATTCCCGATTCTATTAAGATAGAAGAGGGGAACCAGTGTGGTTCCAGATGATGCTGACTAATTTCATGTTTTCTGCAGAAGCTCAAGTTGATTCACATAAAACAGGGGTCTTCAAACTTGGCCCTTTTATGACTTGTGGACTTCAACTCCCAGAATTCCTCAGCCAGCATCCCTGGCTGAGGAATTCTGGGAGTTGAAGTCCACAAGTCATAAAAGGGCCAAGTTTGAAGACCCCTGACATAGAACCTATCCAGTTTTTTCTCTGTGGTTGACAAAATAATGACTAACTCAAAGTCATCCAATAAGTTTCCATGACTGATGGTGACCTAATTCAGGTTCTAGTCCAGCAACGTAACCAGATATTTAACATGGTAATTTAGTGGAGGGCCATAGGTTCCTAATCCAATAGCCCAGTGGTTCTCAACCTTTTCCTTACCATGGACCCCTTTAAATATCTTTTGTGGCCACGGAGAATGGCCATGGATACCGCAAGACTTAACTGAGGAGTTAAATCATAACATTTAACATTAAGCCTTTGCAGATTAACATTTAACATTAAGCCTTTGCAGATCTCTTGTGATGACATCACAGCCTCCCAGAGATCCGCGGATCACAGGTTAAGAATCACTGCAATAACCAATCACTTTTCACTGCAAATGTATAAATATAAAGAGGAGGGAAGCAGAGAAGGTTTAGAGAGGGTGGACGCAGCCTGGGGGGAATGGGCAGGCGGTACCAATGGTTAATTGTATTTTGTATGAATAAATGGAAAATAAAAACTTTTTAAATATAAATGTATAAATAGCTCAACCCAAATAAATCCAAGGGTGGTGAGGCAGGCAGGAAAAACAATATCAAAAGGCAAAATGGATATAACTTTTTGAGGGTCGTGAGTACAACATAACAAGGAAGACTCCACTTAGGTATATTTCTATTATGTTGTACCAAAATATCTTATTCGTACAAGCAAAGTAGGTTTTTGAGTCCCTTCTTATTTGATTGGTGCTGTTTTTTCTGAAATGATTACTGATTCTCTTCCTTTCTCAAGTAGCTTGAAAAACCTTATTGTTTGCTCAGGCAGAAGAGTTCACTCAAACATTACCTTGGTTGCTGCCTTCTACATTTGTTGTAAAAGAGTCTACTTTCTTCCCTGGATGATCCTACAAGTAAAAAACAAAGCCCAGAGTCATTGGATACAAGATCGATGGGAAATAAATTTCCTGAATAAATAAAATAAAATAAAGGATTTAGCTGCAGGAGAAATGCTCAGAATTGCTTCAGCTGCAGAATTGTCATTAATTCAGTCTTTCAGATTTTTAACTATTATATTTAATGTTATTCTACTTCTATTTTGTGATTTTCTCCAGTTCTTTCTCTTCTATTCTGCTCTCTAGATATTGCAAAGTCTACTATCCAGACTCTTTTTTGTCTTTTTTATTGACAATTGTTAAGTCTGTGATGCTTGTCTGTCTGAATTATAAAGTCCTGGAACGCTTTAGCTTTTCCATTATTGTTATTATATACATAAAAATGTAATGTCACTGCTATCTAGTTGGTGTTGGCCTTTATACATATCCAGTTCTTTCCAAGAACCTAGGAAAAGCATCAGTACAGTATATATTTGGATCCAAGCAGTGTGGCCTTTTCTAACTGACATATCGACATTTTGACAATGTGCAGATTTTTTAAATGCAGCATCAGTGTGCTAATAACCGCTGGACCACCATGGACAGTTTATGCCATGATCTTTCAACTTTGATCTTGATACTTTCTGACCTTTTCCAATTCTTTGTCTTGTACTATCCTTTGGCTGCAGCTGCCAAAAAGGCCAACACAGTGCTGGGCTGCATTAACAGAGGGATAGAATCAAGATCACGTGAAGTATTAATACCACTTTACAATGCCTTGGTAAGGCCACACATGGAATACTGCATTCAGTTTTGGTCACCATGATGTAAAAAAGATGTTGAGACTCTAGAAAGAGTACAGAAAAGAGCAACAAAGATGATTAGGGGACTGGAGGCTAAAGCATATAAGGAAAGGCTGCTGGAATTGGGTATGTCTAGTTTAATGAAGAGAAGGACGAGGGGGGACATGATAGCAGTATTCCAACATCTCAGGGGCTGCCACAAAGAAGAGGGAGTCAAGCTATTTTCCAAGGTGCCTGAAGGCAGGACAAGAAGCAATGGATGGAAACTAATCAAGGAGAGAAGCAACCTAGAACTAAGGAGAAACTTCCTGACAGTTAGAACAATTAACCAGTGGAACAACCTGCCTCCAGAAGTGGTGAATGCTCCAACACTGGAGGTTTTTAAGAAGAGACTGGACAGCCATTTGTCTGAAATGGTATAGAGTTCCCTGCCTGAGCAGGGGGTTGGACTAGATGACCTCCAAGATCCCTTCCAACTTTATTATTATTATTATTATTATTACTATTGCCAAATCAATTATCCACACTTTCTTCTTTGCAATGACAGCTAAATCTGGTGTGTTATGAGCCAAGTTTTTATCAGTTTGCATTATGAAATCCTACAATATTTTAACCTACTCATTTTTGGCTCCTTTTTTAATTCTAGGATTCAACCAATTTTTCATCACTGGCACATGATAATTTTTACAAGTGTTCTAGTGAATTATTTTGGCAACTCTGTTTTTCCATATTTTTATTTATAAATAAATAAAATTTATATAATTATAAATTGAAATAAATTAATGTTAATTTTACAGTAATCCTATTAATAGTAATTTATTATAATTTATAATGGCATAAATATAATTGATTACATTATTATTAATAAATATTAATAATAATATAATAGAATATACTATTATTACTATTACTACTATTACTATTATTGTTTTTACTGATGGAGGTCCAAATCCGATGGCACTAACCATTTGGCACCTCATGACCAAATGAGTAGGGGTAATGGGGTGTATATCAGGGGTAGGCAACCTTGGCTCTTTTATGATTCGTGGACTTCAACTCCCAGAATTCCTGAGCCAGCAGGTGTAGATAGATAGAAAGTTAACCATTTCTTCATTAACAATCTGATTCTGATGGCATCTCAGAGATTGCTAATCTGAGGTCACTTCCTTTTGCCTGCCTTTTCAGGCACATGTTCACAGAACACATGATTTTGGAGTTTCCTCTGGATAGGATATAGCTAGCTAGTGCTAGATTTTGCCTGTCCTTATAATGTATTTCCTGTAACTAAATCTCATTTTTGGTATACTTCTAAAACTACTTCACTAATCCCTGGTGAGTGCAGATTCCTGTTCTCTGGAATGCTCAAAGGTGCACATGGAACACTTCAGCCTCCAACCTTTGCAATCTGTGTAAGCATCATTAAAGTCAAAGATGAAATTGTTGATTGTGGAATGTCTCTTCTCAGATGAATCCCTTTGAGGAAACCATGTGAGCCTTTGGGGTTGGTATTCACCCTCGGACACAGATTTTGTTAAATGTCAGTTTGCTTGGTGTATATGTTGTTGTTAGTTGTGAAGTTGTGTCCAACCCATCACGACCCTATGGATAACATTCCTCCAGGCCTTCCTGTCCTCTACCATCTTCTGGAGTCCATTTAAGCTCACACCTATTGCTTCAGTGACTCCATCCAGTCACCTCATTCTCTATCGTCCCCTTCTCCTATTGCCCTCAATCTTTCCCAGCATTAGGCTCTTCTCCAGTGAGTCCTTCCTTCTCATTAGGTGGCTAAAGTACTTGAGTTTCAACTTCAGGATCTGGTCTTCTAAAGAGCAGTCGGGGTTGATCTCCTCTAGGACTGACCAGTTTGATCGCCTTGCAGTCCAGGGGACTCGCAGGAGTCTTCTCCAGCACCATAGTTCAAAGGCCTCAATTCTTTTGCGCTCAGCCTTTCTTATGGTCCAACTTTCACAGCCATACATTGCAACTGGGAAAACCATGGCCTTGACTATACATGCTTTTGTTGGCAGGGTGATGTCTCTGCTTTTTAGTATGCTGACTAGATTTGCCATAGCTTTCCTCCCCAGGAGCGTCTTTTAATTTCTTGGCTGCAGTCCCCATCTGCGGTGATCTTGAAGTTCAGGAAAATAAAATCTGTGTATATGCCCAGCCATAAGCAGCATAAGGAAAACAGAGAGTATATCAGACTTTGATTTTAGTCATATTAAATATAAATAAATAAAACGCCTGACAATTCACTTCATTTTTAATATAATAAACAATTGCATTTTAAGCAGAGTTGTCTGAGCAAGCTATAGAGATTAAGATGAGCAAATTTACACTAAACATTTATGATTTGCTTGGGCTCTCATACATTATTCAACTATGCAAAACTGATCTGGATAGTTGAGAAAACTG